TGATCTGTCTGGTTAATTCCGATAACGAACGAGATCTTGATCATCTAAATAGTGCCATTCTCGTTAGAGTATTGGTTACTTCTTAGAGGTACTATGTGCAATTAAATAGCACAAGTGAAGTGAGGCTATAACAGGTCTGTGATGCCCTTAGATGTCCTGGACTGCACGCGCGCTACACTGGTGAATTTAAATTGAGGGATAACCTTGGCCTATATGGTCCGGGTAATCACCTAAAATTCATGAGCGTGAAGGGGATCGAATGTTGTAACTTGCATTCGTGAACCAGGAATTCCTAGTACTCGGTAGTCAACAACTACTGGGGATTACGTCCCTGCCCTTTGTACACACCGCCCGTCGCTACTACTGATTGGATGTTTAAGCAAGAATTGCGGAAGCCCGTCGCTGAGACTTCGGTCCTGGCAATAGGTGGAAGCGGATCGAGCTTAATTGTCTAGAGGAAGTAAAAGTCGTAACAAGGTTTCCGTAGGGGAACCTGCGGAAGGATCAGTGACTAATGCCACTGTTTGAGCGAAGAGCCGGTCAGCTCATTAAATATGACCCGGTACGCAGTAGATCTTTTTGGAGATTTTGCTGAAAGGTGGTGGTGCATAATCAAGAAAGAGTCGGTGGTGCATGAGTGTAAGAGAGACGGTGGTGCATGAGACTGGGGATTGGCTCCCAGTCAAAGTAGCTTGCTCGGTGGTTGATGATAGCAAGAAAGAGTCGGTGGTGCATGAGAGTAAGAGAGACGGTGGTGCATGAGACTGGGGATTGGCTCCCAGTTAAAGTAGCTTGCTCGGTGGTTGATAATAGCAAGGAAGAGTCGGTGGTGCATGTGAGTAAGAGAGACGGTGGTGCATGAGACTGGGGATTGGCTCCCAGTTAAAGTAGCTTGCTCGGTGGTTGATAATAGCAAGGAAGAGTCGGTGGTGCATGATAGCATGATGTTCCTTCATGGTTCATCTAAGAGTTGGTCTAGCTAAGGTTAGATTGGCTCAAGGTAGTCCTTAATGGATCACCTTAGATTCCCGAAAGATAATTCAAAGAGAGTTGACCTGATGCAAGTTAGGTTAACTCAAGGTGATCCTTGTTGGTGATCCTTAGTATGATGGTGGTGCATTAGCAAGAAAAACGGTGGTGCATGATAGCTTGAGACTGGGGATGGGCTCCCAGTCAAAGTAGCTTGCTCGGTGTGGATGATAGCAAGTGAGAGTCAGTGGTGCATTATAGCAAGAGAGAAGGTAGCCAAATGTCTCGTCATTGTTGACGCCAAAATCAGGTAGCCAAATGCCTCGTCATTTTTGACGCCAAAAGCAGGTAGCCAAATGCCTCGTCATTTTTGACGCCAAAAGCAGGTAGCCAAATGCCTCGTCATTGTTGACGCCAAAAGCAGGTAGCCGAATGCCTCGTCATTGTTGACGCCAAAAGGAAGTCGCTCAAACTTGGGTATTCTGTTGATCAAAAAGCTGTTTAGATGGTAGCTTAGGAGTAACTTCTCCTAGATAAGCTTGTTTGTTGGTCGTTTAAACAGTGTACGATTTTCAGTTTGCTTTCGTTAGAGAAAGACTGAGGAAAGCGAAGGCCCGAATGCTTAAGAACAGGGTGATCTATGCTTGGGTAATCACACTTAGTACGAGAGGAACAGTGTGTTCAGTTCCCTGGTTTCAAGCGTCTGCCTGAGAAGGCGGATGCGAAGCTACAATTGATGACCTAAAGCGTAGATTGAATTGCTCTATCTGCATCATGAAAATTGCCTTTAATGGTTTAAATTGGCAGTATCAAGTATATTGATGCTGTTGACCCCGATGTCAGATAGGAATGCAATCCCCCATTGATGATGGGAGGTCGCTCGAACTTGGGTATTCTGTTGATCAAAGAGCTGTTTAGATGTAGTACCGGTGTGATACATGTGATTGCATTGAGAGAGCGTTTAAACAGTGTTCGATCTTCAGTTTGCCTTCGTAAGAGTAAGACTGAGAAAAGCGAGGGCCCAAACGCTCAAAAACAGGGTGATCTATGCTTGGGTAACACTTAGTACGAGAGGAACAGTGTGTTCAGTTCCCTGGTTTCAAGCGTCTGCCTGAGAAGGCGGATGCGAAGCTACAATTGATGACCTAAAGCGTAGATTGAATTGCTCTATCTGCATCATGAAAATTGCCTTTAATGGTTTAAATTGGCAGTATCAAGTATATTGATGCTGTTGACCCCGATGTCAGATAGGAATGCAATCCCCCATTGATGATGGGAGGTCACTCGAACTTGGGTATTCTGTTGATCAAAGAGCTGTTCAGATGTAGTACCGGTGTGATACATGTGATTGCATTGAGAGCGCGTTTAAACAGTGTTCGATCTTCAGTTTGCCGTTGTAAGAGAAAGACTGAGGAAAGCGAAGGCCCAAATGCTTAAGAACAGGGTGGTCCAGACAGCTCAAAGTCCGACTGCGGTTGGCTTTGTTCTAATCGAGTGAACACTTACTTTTGGAGAAATCCGATCGTAGGAG